TGTTTGCGTGTAACACCCAGTGCTTCATGCAGAACGTGCCCTCTTTAATACCCATCACCAGGCTAACCCATCCTCCCACCCCCCTCCCCTCTAGAACCCTCAGTTTGTTTTTCAGAGTCCATCGTCTCTCATGGTTCGTCTCCCCCTCTGATTTCCCCCCTTCATTCTTCCCCTCCTGCTATCTTTTTCTTTTCTTTTTAACATATATTGTATTATTTGTTTCAGAGGTACAGATCTGTGATTCAACAGACTTACACAATTCACAGCGTTCACCATAGCACATACCCTCCCCAATGTCTATCACCCAGCCGCCCCATCCCTCCCACCCCCCACCACTCCAGCAACCCTCAGTTTGTTTCCTGTGATTAAGAATTCCTCGTATCAGTGAGGTCATATGATACATGTCTTTCTCTGATTGACTTATTTTGCTCAGCATAACACCCTCCAGTTCCATCCATGTCGTTGCAAATGGAAGGCTTTTTTTTCTTTTTAAAGAAACACAACTTTGGTTTTATTCATCAACTCTTTTTAAAAATTCTATTTTGTTTTCAATTTAATTTATTCTTTTAACTTCCTTTAAGTCTATTTCCCCCTCTTTTTCTAGCTTCTTGAGTTGAATGCTTAATTCATTTAGTTTTAGTATTTCTTGTTTTCTTGTTTTTTTTTTTTTAAGATTTTATTTATTTATTTGAGAGAGAGAATGAGAGAGAGCACATGAGAGTGGGGAGGGTCAGAGGGAGAAGCAGACTCCCCGCCAAGCAGGGAGCCCGATGCGGGACTCGATCCAGGGACTCCAGGATCATGACCTGAGCCGAAGGCAGTCGCTTAACCAACTGAGCCACCCAGGCGCCCTATTTCTTGTTTTCTGATAGATGCCTTTAAAACTCTAAAATTTCCTCTGAGTGTCACTTTGGTTTCACCCTGCAGGCTTGGGTAAATAGTACATTCATAGCTCTTTCCTAAATAGTCTTACTATTTTGATTTCATTTTTAATCTAAGAGTTATATAGAATCATGTTTTAAAATTTTCAAGTGGAAAGTCTGGGTGTTTGTTTTTGTTTTCTAACTTCTATGTTTTCTTTTCTAATTTCTCCGTTTAACTAGCTCATTTAGGGCGCAGGGTTTTTGTACACCATTCAGGATACTCACCTGATACCATTCCAAATTTTTGCTCTTGAAGGCTATTCACCCTTGTTTTCTATTTTTATCTCTCTCCCCTTCCCTGTAAACTAAGGCTTTTACTTACCTTTTATTTATTTATTTAAAATAATTTTTAAAAGATTTCATTTATTTATTTGACAGAGAGAGAGAGAGCCACACCCACAAGCATGGGGAGCAGCAGAGGGAGAGGGAGAAGCAGGCTCCCTGCTGAGCAGAGAGCCCGACAATGTGGGGCTCCATCCCAGGACCCTGGGATCATGACCTGAGCTGAAGGCAGATGCTTAACTGACTGAGCCACCCAGGCTCCCTTAAAAAAATTTTTTTTTATGATTTTAAGTAATCTCTACACCCAACATGGGGCTTGAACTCATGACCCCAAGATCAAGAGTCACAGCTCTACTGACGGAGCCAGCCAGGTACCCTTACTTAAATTTTAATACCTTTCATCCTCTAGCCTCACTTTCTGAAATCATCCTTTTTTTACAGCCATATTAAGCTATTACCATACTAAGTCCCTCAAACATCCTATTTTCTGTCATGACTGTGCTTAGGCAGATTCTGTTCCTCCCTCCTGAAACAGTCTTCCTTTCCTTTCAACCATCTTAATGACTTCAACCTTTTCTTCAAAATATGGCCTCTGTCACTTTGTTCTGGGAGCCCTCCTTGACATTATCTGTTCCTCTCCCCTGTTCTCCCAACCCCCTTTGGACCCTGTAGCTCCCTATAAACACTTCAATCTCCATCATACTAGTAGATTACATTTATTGAATGATTATCATTTTCCAGACAATGTGCTGAAGGCTTTATACTCAATAGAACATTTGATCTTCACAATAACTCCATGAGGCCAAAGTTCTATGGAAGGAAAAATGAAGATTTAGAGAAAGGCATTAAATCTTGCCCGAGATCTGCCACTTCCTAGTAAATTGCAGAACTGAAATTTGAATCTAAGTCTGTTTAATTTCAAATGCTGTATTATAAGTATATTGTATTTATAAAGCATATTATAAGTACTGATTTTTCTTCTTTATGTCCCCTGCCAGGTCATGAGGTATCAGAGGGCACACTATGTCTTGATCATCTCTGAGCCTCTGGTAGAAACACAGGAAGAACTCAGTTGGCTAAGTTAATGAGCGAGAAGGTTGTTCTGGCTTAGAGTCCTGGATTGAAAAGTACAGTTCTCCTGGTTGGTGAACAAGCCTAAAGGCAGGATCACTACACAATGAAAAAGTCTCCTGTAAACAGTGTTTTCCTGTATGTAATAAACTCTAGTAACCTTTATCCACTGAGGTGAGGTATAGGAGAGAAATGTTAGCAGAGTCTCACGGTGGGATTTTCAGGACTCTAAACATTCTCTTAAATTAAGTTGCTTTTCATTTTTTTTTTCCTTTTTAATTACAGAAGGAAACTGGGCTGATTTCTTTTTTCTAACTTCTACTTATTCCATTGACTGGAATAAGCATACTACCCCCCCCCCCCACCCCGCATTTAAGTTTGGAACCATCAGCAAAAAGCTCAGATTCTACGAATGAAACAAATGATGTAGTCCTGGCTTAGAGAATCATGCCCCTGGAGGACATGCGCCTTTCTCACAATTGCCATACAATCATGAAAACTGTGATGCTTTAGCCCCTGACAGATCTTGGACTGGTGCCTTTGGTTTAATGATTGCGGCTCCTCTCCCTGATGAATGTTCCAGATTTCAGTGGCCCGCAGCTATGCAAATGCATGTGCATCTGAAGTGGCAGCATTTTGTGTGAAGGCCACTGTTGAATGTGGCTCCTCCATGGGCTGGGACCCCACACCCTTGTGTAGAACCTCTGCTCACTGGGGCACTGGCTCCTTGGAACCCTATCTCCTTCTTCCTTCCTCTTGGGCAGCATCAGTCAAAACTTCTGCTGAAGAGATTACATTAATCTAGTAGGTTTCATTTTTCGTGACTGCTCAAACAACCAAACCCTAAAATGCAGCTGATCAGGCTTGCTGGAAACACTTGGCTTCAGTGCAGTATAATGGAACTGGCTCCTTTAGGAGTGGAGAAGGATCTGGTTTGGATTTTCAAATCCCTCTTTGGCAAGTTAATTTTTTTTATTATGTGACAGATGAAGTTTGGCTGAACGGCTGAAATTTTGTGGCCACTGATTTATATTTTCTCTAGTGAAAAGTTAGATCATTTACAGATCTGTCCCTGTCCCCTTTACTGAGCCTCAGTCAAGGCGAAATGGAGTGCAGTTGAGTGGAAAAAGTGGCATAGTTTAACCAGCTCTGTGACCCTGGGCAAACCGATCAAAGTCACTGGGCCTCAATTTTCTATTCTCCAAATACATAATTCACATAATTAAACTGGGGAAATACACTCAAAATGTAATTAGAAAAGTATATTAACAGGCTTACCCTTTAAATTTAAAACACTTGGCTTCTTTAAAAAACTAAAATGCTTCCCTTAGTCTTAAAGCAATCCCTAGAATCAAAGGTAAAAGGGATTTGTCCGGGTTGCTTGACACCTTCTACCCTGCTGAAAGGCCTTCCCTCTCCCCTCTCCTCTTTCTCCTTCCACACGCATTCAAACCCTTGCTGAGCTCAGCTGGACACCACAAACGTGCCGCAGCAATCTGTGTAAGCACCCAGAGCTGTCCTGGGTCTTCACCCTTCCCTCTCCACTCCCCAGTGCCTGCTAAGATACTGCTTTTAGAAGATCCATCTGAGATCTTCCTGCACCTTACTGAGGGTCAGAGTTGAGGTCTGGAATTGGATCAGGGTCAAAGGACCCCATTTACTGGCCTAGGCTGCCTAGAAGGCCCTTTTGGGAAAGTGAGTGTTGACTCACATACTCCAGAACACAACACTCGAGGAAGCTGGAGTCAATTACTGGTTCCTTACTCCCAGGCTGCAAAGAATTGGGAAAGCAACCTTTCCGGTCCCCACTCACACAGTGCTGGAACTGATTATAGAGGGCGGCTGATTATGAGCAAACCTACAAAACTCCCATAGTATCCAGATCTGGCTCCATTATGGAGAGAGATATCTAAAGACTTCAATTCTCTTGACCCTCCTGGGATCTGCCCCCCTGGGCCAGGCATTTCCCGAGCACAGATTTTCTCAGGAGGCATCTGGGGGGGACCAGAGGGCACCAGGGGAGTCTCCTGAAGGAGAGCCAGAAAACCCAAAGGGGATGGTTTTGTCTCTATTCTAGGGGCTGCTGTTGAGGCTTTTCCAATCTTTGTCTATTGGCTTTCTGATACAAACTAATCTGAAAAGGATTGTATCCAGGGGATTTAGGAAAAAAAAAAAAAAAGTCTGAAAGCTGGGCAGCTGTAAATTGATCCACAGACAATGAAAGATCTTAGTTCAGGTGCCCGGTGAAAACCAAAGGGGAGGTAGGGCTTCCTTTTAACACTTCCTCTCCAATTTCCTTTATTCCATTCTTTCTAAGTTCACAGATGTGTTAAAAAGAGCAATGGATTTGGAAACAAAGACTTGATTTGAGCCCTGTCTCTCTTCCACTTAGTTTCTTTGTGACTTTGGACAAGTCCTCTAATCTTTCTGGGTTTTGGTTTAATTTTTTAAGACAATAGTATTTCATAAGGTCGTAGTGAGGATGAGCTAGGTCAAGGGACCCTGTAAGATATTAATATTCTCTCGGTTTGTTCAAATAAAGGCCAGTTTCCACCGGGACGGGGTCAGGAGTGTAAGCTGGGGTGGGCTGGCACATCACAGTGAGGAAGGGAAGATTTCTGAACTGATCCTGGTAAGAGCACAGACTCAGGAGCACAAGAAAATAATTCCTGATGCACGCTCGTGTTTGAGGGGTTTGGGCAGGTTCTCATTCTTGTGGTTGAGTGCATAAAAGCAAGAGTCTAAGAGCAATAAGACAAGGAAGCCACGGGGCCCCAATTCACTTCTTCCCTGAAGTGCTGGTGTTCGGGATTCTGCAGTACTTTTCTGATCAAGCAGAATCATGGTGAGCATTAGGCAAAACTGTGAATTCAGCCAACTTTATCTTTGGTAAACTGTGGTATGGCCTGTAGCAATTCCCTCCCACATTCCTACCTTTGGGAAAAAAATAATGTAAGAAAGTTTCACATGTGTTCTTCTTCTCATAGTTAAATTTCAATTGGAGCTGGATGGTGTGCAGTGATTCTCAACTTTGGCTACACACTGAAATCACGTGGGGAGATTAAAACCCTGCAAACGAATACCTGGGTCCCATCTCTAGAGATTCTGATTGGCTTGGTCTGGGGTATGACCTTCAAGGCTTTTAAAAGCTCCCAGGTGATTCTAATGGACAGCCAAGAGTAAGCACTACTGGCTTAGTGAGAAGCAGTTGGAATCCCAGCCTTAAAACTTACTTGCTGGGTAACCTTGAGCAAGTTCCTTAACCTTTCTGTGCCTTGGTTTCCTCACTTAAAAAATGGAGTCATAAGAGTAATGCAACTCATAGTGTTGTTGGGAGGATTAAATGAGTTAATGGATGGTGAGTGCCAGAGCAGTGTCTGATGCATAGTGGGTAGCTATTTCTATTTCTAATATCACTCGCATCTTTTTCCTTCCTACCTTTCTTCTCTTGTTTCTCTATCTTCCAGGTCTCTATCTTTCCTGTTCTTTCTCCTGTAATTGTTCCTTTCTTCTCAGCCATCTCTCCACTCCCCTTCCAGATGTTTTTCCCTTTCCACTCCTGGGCCTGCACCTTGCTGGAGATTTGGTATTAGGAATCCTAGCAGGGCAAACCTAAATTAATCAGAAGACTGCATGATGGATGATTTTAGGAGAAATGCAGTTGATGGGTGGCTATCTGGGCAAGGGGACAACATAACCAGGAGGTCTTGTAAACGTGTTTTCAAACAGATAAAGATCTTCTGTAACGAGCACATTCTGCTGTGAACCCACATGTAGTCGGACAGAGTCCTTCACTCTGGAGTGGGTTAACATTCTAACATTTCCCTTCTGAATGCTTTTTCTGTCTAAGTCCAAATGACAACCACTCCTTAAAGCAATAACACATAGGATGTAGTCAGGATGGGGAAAGGGGGTGACCACCACAATGAAACCAACCCAGGTAGTATTTTCTTTTATCTGCCCATCGAGTAAACCATTCTACACCAACTTCCCTCATCTCAAACACCCAACTGCCACCCCCAAAAGCCACCTCCCCAACTACAACAGGGGACACAAAGATATTGTAATGAGGTGAGTAGTGCTTTCTTCTTTTCTGTCTTCAAAGCTCTTTGCATTGCTCAATGGTACCTCAATGGAGTGAAATGAGCTTGGGCTCTTGTTTTATTTCCAGGTCTTTTAGAATGGAAATTTTCCTCAAGCTCTCTGTCCTGCCCTTGGGAAGTTATTGTCTTTCCTGTCTCTTTTCACCCCCCCGGGGGGGGGGGGTTAAGGTCCCCTTGTTGTTCTAAAGGTTGCTCAATGGAAGCTCAGCCATGTGGTTTGCTGAGGGTTCTCCGTGTCAGCCCAGGACAGCAGTGTTCTTCCCTTGAGCTGAGGGATAGAGATAAATTCTGCTCCTTCCATGTCCAACACTGGCTCTGAGCAGGACTGGAAATGGGGCATGGGTGGGAGGTAGAGAAGGCTGGAGAGGGAAAGAGAATGATTTCTTCTTTCTCCTCAAGCCTGACACACTCCTCCCCCTAATCCAAACCCTCTTCCTTGCTTCCTCAACCTCTAGAAATGCCAATAACCGAACATAAAACATAGCCAAGTATTTGTTCTCTGCAACTCTCGCTCAATGTCTTCCTTTCCAATGTCTTTGAGAAGAACCTGTGATCTCAAAACATAGGTGTGATCTTTAATCTCCAAATATGACCTCTCAACACATAATGTCCCAAACTTTATCAGAACCTTGGGAGGGTGGAAACTCACCACACTCCTGGTTTCTCTATCTCCTTGAGGGGCCAGGGGGCTTAGAGTTCTCCCCTTAGCTTGTCAGGCCTCTCCCTCTTCCTCCATATCTCTTTCCCTTAGGTTTTTTTTCTCAATCCACAACTAATCCCTTTTTTATTTTTTTATTTTAAAGATTTTATTTATTTATTTGAGAGAGAGAATGAGAGAGAGAGAGCACATGAGAGGGGGGAGGATCAGAAGGAGAAGCAGACCCCCTGCCAAGCAAGGAGCCCAATATGGGACTCGATCCCAGGACTCCAGGATCATGACCTTAGCCGAAGGCAGTTGCTTAACCAACTGAGCCACCCAGGCGCCCGACAACTAATCCCTTTAAAGTGATAGCTGATAAAGGGATGAGCTTATATCTCCCTAGGGGTATTTATATTGTAATAAGGGATTTTAAGAATGACTATTGGTGGAATTGTAAGCAGTCTGACTGGCAAGATTGCGTAGAGCTACTTCAAATTCTATCATACAGGGGAAAAGGGAAAATTAGCATTTATTGTGTGCTTAACATGTCCCAGGCATTGTGCCAGAGGCTTCACATAATGTTATTTCTTTTACTTACAATACTGGTAAGGAAATTAGGGCCCAGGGAGGTAAATAATTGAGTGAAATCACACATCTAGTAAGTCGTGGTGGGGGGTGGGGTCTGAATTCAGGGCTGTCCCTGTGATTCCAAAGCTTTCCAATGCCCCCATCCCACCTCTTCTGGTCTTCTTCTTTGTGAATCTGGCAAGACCCTTGAAAGGTACTTTCCCTGGGAGTGCATAGCTCCTTCACAACCTGCGTTGGCCTCTCTGTGATGAGCGACTCGAACCCGTCCTGAGTTTCATTCTTCCTCACTCGCAGATGATCTGTCTGAATGTCTTGGTGGATTGTGCCAGTCTGGAAGGCTGCCTGGGGTCACCCAGAGTTTAAACACACATTGTGAGAACCCAGAATGATAAAGTGCTCCGAAAAGGGGCCCACTGACTGACTGACTGAACCTTTTCCAAGATTGCTGGTGAGGCGATAGGAATGACTCAGCAGTTTGGCTTTCAATCCCATGTCTGTCTCTGAGGTCAAGTACAATCGTGCGCTCACTCACTGAGATGATCCCGGCCTACCAGGCCCAGGGTGAAGAAGAGATTTTACTTCTGAAGCAGTCACTGAGAAAGATGCTTCTATGTTCTACAAACAACAAACGCCGCCGTGCGCGTGTGTATTTTTAAGTTTCTCAGATGATTCTAGTATGTTTCATTTTCTCCCTCTCCCCCCACCCCCCCGCCAGCCATCTGGTTTTTAGAATTTGCGTGCCAGTTGAGAACTCATAGACAGACCTCACCTTTGTCTAAACCAAGTCCACAAAGTTATTAAAAGAGTGAACTAATGGGACATTTCTAGATAACACTAATTGAGTCATTATTCAAAGCCATCCTAGCCACCTGACAAGGGTTTTCCCACTGGTCATGGCAGCATGGTGGGAAGAGCAGAGGAGAAGAGTGTCGTACGCTATGTAGACACACTGTAGGTGCCCATTACAGATTTTTCAGTTAATAAATGAATGCCATTACTCTCTGACTCCCTCATGGCCCCCATGGGGGACAAGAACCATGTAATAACACTCGTCCACTGTCCTGCTCAGAGCTTAGTCAGATGAGAAATCAGATGTCCTTGTTTATTCTCAGTATCATGAGAAAGAAGTTAGAATAACAACTTTTACCACCTAGGCACTAGCCTGAGTCTTGTCCAAAAAAACTGTATGGATAAGAGAGCTGCGTATTTCACTCACAGAGGAGAGGAGAAGAAAGTAGGCCTCTTGGTGTTGATGGTGTTTTTCATACCTGCGTTTCCAACTATTCTGGGTTTTGTCTCCTCCTGGTCAACGAGTACGGATGATGCTAACAGACAGAGAAGATGTGGGGGCCACTGGGTCCTGCAGAACCAGAGGCCTCCTTAAGCTGGGGTTTCCTCACTCAGACACCTGTCCTCTGCCCTCTGTTCTAGAGAAGGGCTATGCCGTCCATTCTAACTTGCAGACACAGTTCCACGGACAATGGAAAGACTACGCATGAGCTGGAAACGTCCTTGAGATTGTGAAGGGCCTTGAGGGATGGGGAGGAGAGGTGGAATACTCAAACTCAGAGTCCTCAAACTCTGTGCCCGAGAGCTGGCGTCACGCATTTGCCGCTACAGCTGAATGAGTGTTGGTTCTGACGGGCAGGAAGGAATGAAGTTAACAATTTTAAATTTCTCTCATAAATTGCTTCTGCAACCACTCACCTCTATTAGAACCTGGTGTAAGATGGTATCTGATGAAGTGCAACTGTATTCACTTAGTTAACTTATTTTTTGCAAGAGTGCTACATACAAGTGCCATTGTTTCCGAGGCCCATGCTACCTGCACAAGTTTAAGAACACAGCACCAGTCTTCAGTGTCATCCTGGGCTCCGTTCCTTCCCACAACCATTTTCAAACCTAGCGCGTCATTTTGTTAGGTTAGAGCAGTGTCTCGAGAAGGCCTTTGGATATTGATTAGGTAATACCTAGACCACAACCTGAAACTTCTTGACTGAAATATTTGGAGGCAAAATGAAATACGTAGTTTTTGGTAACTGCCAAAGAACTCCAGGACCAAGGTAATTAACTGGGGTTCTTCCACATCCCAGTACACAGCAGGGCATCAGTTTGAAGGTCAGAGAGACCTGGGTCTGAACCTTGGCCTCACCAATTAGTGGCTCTGTGACCTGGGGCAAGTTGCTTTATCTTAGAGCTCTAAACTTCTATTTTCTCCATTTGTAAAATGGGGATAACAGCAGACTTTGCAAAGCCGCAGGAAAGGTTAAACAAAGATTATGAACATATGTAAAGTGCTCAAGTATATATTCTGGCATATAATGAGGTATTCGATAAACAGTGGCTAGTATTACTATTAATATTTGACTATTATGCATTCAACAAGCATTTATTAAGTATATTTTCTGGACTGGATGCTGTGCTTTGATTCTGTTCTATAGAATCTCTATCTATATACACATACAGAGTCATGACCAAGGGTAAGAAACAGAAGCCTCAGGTTACTGACCTGATAGAAGTAGGACTAACCCAATTGTCTTAAGAGCATCAACTCTTCCTGGATCTGCAAATGTACAGCTATGAGAACAATTCCCCTTTCTTGTGCCCTATTCTCCCTGTCCCCTGCCCACTCAACAGCAGAAACACACATGATCACTCCAAGAACAGCTGTCCGAAGTTGCTTCACAGAAAAAGAACATGGCTAGGATTGCTGGAAAACGAAGGAGCTGCTATAGAGGTGGTTTGCATAACCAAGCCAGACTCAAGAGGGTAAATGAGGAGGCTGATGAATTGCCATCTGTGGCCATTGTATCAATATTTACAGCTTCTCTGTCATTAAGATGGCAATGGCAATCTGCCTCAAAAAATATATTATAAAACCCAGTGAATTTCCTCCCCCATATCTTGGAAGTTTGGGAAGAACTGTAATGGATTCCAAACTGTTTTGAATTAACAAAAAGAGCTTTTTCCTGTTGCAGAGTTCCAGCTGGAACCTTCCTATGCTTTTCTTCACTGAACAGCAAATGCTCAAGGAGGCAAAGAGTCCAGTGGAGTGTCCTGGGGCTTGTCAGTTTTACTGAGCTTTACACTTGGCTTAGGTTGCTGGGTCGTTCTGGGAGTTTGCTAGTGTGGCTGGCATGGAACTGTGGCCCCGGAGGCAAACCTGCCCTTGCTGGAGGCAGTTTTATTACTCTTGACGCCACCCATCCTAGAGGGAACGAGGGAAGCTGTTACTTATCACGACTACTGAGGAAGCACTACCTCCGAATTATGGGCCCATACCTTAGGGGATACAGTGAAGGGGGCACAGGTTCCGGCCACCAACACAAGTGTGAGGAGGGTGACCACGAGGCATTAGCCAGGTGGCAGGGGACAGGGTATGTGGCAGAGAGGGCACGCTGAGGTGACAGGACACCTGGTTTTCAGCCCCAGTTCCACTGCTCACTAGCTGTTAGATCTCAGACAAATTGCTGAAGTCTAGGAACCTCGCTTTTCCTTCTGTGAAATGGGAATAAAAATATAGGAGAATTGTCAGGATCTAATAAGAGAACATATATGGAATGCTTTTTAAAAATGTACAAAGTGCTGTCCTTCGTCTGATTCTGGACTGTTGTTCTTTGTAGTCCCATCTTTTTTTTTTTTTTTTTTTTTTCTTGCCTTGAGCTCAGGAGAGAAAGAGAGAGAGGAGAAAAACTTGAGAAGAACTAGGTCATCTTTCTCAGCTAGCTTGGTTTGAGAGCTGAGTAAACAGCAAAGATGCTAAGCACCAGGCCAATCTAAGCACCAAATCTCACCGGATCAGCAGTTTCTAGGGTTGAAGTTGAATGACAGTGATCTTAACTATAGCAACTCCAGTTTCCTCAGCAAATACTTAGTTGGGTCAAATCAGGTACTTTCATCCAAAAAAGAAAAGAAAAAATCCCCTTTAGGTCTTCTGGGGATGCCTTGCCCTTAATCTCTCCAATTCCTTACCATCCCACACTTACAAGGGGCCCATTTCCCCATCCTTCCTTCAGTCTAGGGTCACGGTGCCTTCAGTCTTCTGTGATTCTAAGCCTAGCTCAGAATGAGGTCAATGGGACCCCTGCCAAAAGCTCTTTTTCTGAAATCACTAAAGCTATCTATAGACTTCAATGTAAACTGCACAAAAGAAAATGACCACTCTTTGTTAAGATTAAGTAGGATCAGAAATTTGTTCACTGGATCAAAGCCTCTTGCTTACATGAATGTTTTCCTTCTGGAAAACCCAGGATAGGAAAAGAATTAAAACTCATTGAGAAATTATATGTCATAATCTAATAAACCACAATCTGGGATACTGACTTCACCATCTACAGATGACTGGGATTCTGATTTTACTGGAGTCTAGTCTTTGGACTGGAAAAGACTTGAGCAGTTCTTTCTCTGGCCTATACCCAACTGGCTTCTCTGAGTAAAGAAGAGAATCAAATTTCTATGTGTTGAGCAAACATGGGGTCTAGTTTATTCATTCTTATCTACTGCCTGTAGGTAGACTTCATCTACAAAAGCAAACTTTGATCAAGGAAGGATTTGCCTTTTGTGATACGGGAACTAGTCAATGGTTAATTCTATTTTTTTTAAGGAAGTCTAAAATTATTCACAGGGTTTTCTTCTCATAATAACCACAGGGATAAGACTTTAATAATCTATGGCTGGCTGCTACCTTCAGATTTCTTTCATTGTTGTGAAGATCCAATAAGATCTGGATATTGGCTACTGTTAAAGCAGTCTGTATGAGACCAAAAGGAACTCATTTATATGGCATCTACATTTAAAATGTACCATTTTTAATTTTCATAATTAAAAACTAAAGATTGCAGTATCTGTTAAATTGAATCAAACTATACACTGTTATTTTTTGACCAACTAATGAAAAATTTAAAGCCTAATAAATCGCTGGTTTTTAAATAAACTTGCTTGTGAGTTATAGGCAATAATGGCTTTTTTTTCCTAGATGAAAACACCCTGTGGTCTCATGTGCCCATAAAACAACATTGCTCACTGGGGCGCCCTGGGTGGCTCAGTCAGTTAAGTGGCCAACTCCTGATTTCAGCTTAGGTCATGATCTCAGGTCCTGGGAGAGAGCACCACATAGGGCTCCGTGCTCAGTGGGGAGTCTGAGGATTCCCCCTCTCCCTCTCCTCTGCCCCTCCCTCTGCTTGCATGCGCGCACTCTCTAAAATAAATAAATCTTTAAAGAAAACCAAAAACCAAAAAACCAACACTGCTCAAGTTCAGAAAGTTCAGAATTATTATGACTGTTTCTTGTGTAAACCTTCCCTGGCTAGCAATTAATCTTTGAACAGCTTATTTCAAATGCCTCCCTTAGTGTATCTATGGTGGGAATATAAACTGGTATAAATGTTGTGGAGAACAATCTGGCAATGATGTAACAAAAGACTTAAACATATTTATAGCCATTCCACTTCTGGTAATTTAGAATGAGAAAATAATTTGGAATTTGAACAGAAATTTACACTTAAAAATGTTCACTAAAACGCAAATTTAGAACACATTTTCAATAATTTTCTAAAAAAATTTTCTATATTCTCCTCTATAGGTTTTTTGTAGTAAGTTAGCAACCATAAATAAGGAGATAATTCAGTATGTAATGGTCCTTTAAAAAAATGAGTATTTTACAGTCCTTAAAATGGTAGTATGTATACATAGATATGTAGCACATGCATAGAAACTTTTCAGGAGGAGACATAGGACTTTGTTAATCTCATTTTATTCTGAGGACAGAGACCTTTAATTTCCATTTACACTTTTCTGTACTCTTTGAATTATGAAATGACCATGTATTACTTTTATTTTCCAAAAATTAATGAAAAATATTAACAAAGAGTATGTAATGACATGGGGAAAATGACTAAGTGAGAAAAGGAATATAAATATGGAATCTAGAGTATGCTTGGGAAAAATCTTAGAAATATATTAAATGTTAATAATTCTATTTCTATTCATCATTAAAAATAAAATGTGCCTCAAAATATTAGCTAAGCAATAACAACTTGTTTTCTCGTCTGGTTTTTCAAAATTTAAGCTTTTTCTCCTAATGAACCTCAAATAAACTAGAATCTCATTCTTCTTTGCTGAATTAATCATGGGTCCCAGAGGATCAAGGGTTGATCTATCTAAGTAGAGTCTGTCAAGATATTAAAACATGTTGGATAGTGGCTTTTGTTACATTAAACATAACCCCCCAAAACATCACTTTTAAATGAGTGGCAACCTGACGCTGCACAGAGGCTCCAGGGTTAACCCGCGTGCCGTATGCCAGCTCTTTGCACCCGAGTCACGTAAAGGGTAGGATTACTGTAGACCCTGGAGCCAGACTGCCCGAGCTCATCATCCTGGCTCCGCAGCTTATGTTTGCTGGGTAGCCCTGGGCAAGTGATTGAACCCTTCAGTGCTCTGGTTTCCTCGCCTGCAAAACGGTACTTCCCTCACTGGGCTGGAGAATTAAGTGAACGCGTACTACGTGCTCAGAACCCTGCCTAGGACACAGTAGGTACTTAACAAGTGTTTGCTAGCATTATTATTATTATTACTAATACATGATGCACCTGATTTCAGAAGCATTCTGCTCTCAAATAACTGGACAACAAAGGAGGGCAGAGTGCACCATGTTCTTTATAATATCTTGTATAGTTAGACACAGTTTACATCTAGAAGACCACCATCCCTCCCCCCATCAGCTTTCGCCAACAGAGGATGTTCTGCCAAGTGCACACAGAAAGCTCACCTGAAGTCCATTTCAGTAATGAAAACTCATTGCTTAAAAACAATTTTTATAAAGAGAGACGACAGTAAAACTTTCTTCTACATAAGCTGGAAATGTGTGGAGAAGCCAATGAAAGTAGCATGTAGTATAAAACCTGGCTTTTGGAGTCGGTTAGTTAGATCATGTACTTACAAGGCCAAAAATACAATGAATTGCTAAATAACTCAATTTATTTCTCTGCTCTGTGCTCTTTGGTTCAGATTGTATTCTTAATCATAGCCATCACCTCCCAAAGGTACCTTAAGGGAAGCCATCAGAGAAATCTACCTGAGGGAATAGTTAGAAGTCAGTAGATAAATATTCCTTGATTCCTGATATTAGGAAAGCAATTCAAAGTAATATCTTCCTGATGGTAGGGCAGTAACTTTCTCTATGCCAAGTGAGCACCAACTTAAGCAAAGTTGTACATGTCATTACTTAAACGACATGAAGAATAGATTGGCCTGAAGGGAAGGGCAAGAGAGAAGGGAAGGGAAAAGATAGGGAAAAAGAAAATGAAAAGAAAAAAAAAGAAGAGGGCATTTGCTTTTCATGTTTGGATTTGACTGGAAAAAATATTATGAAGGATAAAAGAAGAAATGCCTGGGTTGCCCACAGCCTTCCAACAGCAAATTTATGATCCTCTCTCCTGGTATTTTACCTGTGTAGTGATGTTCTCCTGGCATCATACCCCTGGCATTTTCTGTAGGAAAGTACAGTAAGTACAGAGAAAAGGGCGAATGCTGAGGAAAGTGAAAATTCTTCCAGCCATGCCACCACCGTCCCACCCTCTTCCACGGAAGATCGAAAGATGGATCTTACCTCCACTGAGAATAATGACGGCTATAAATATTGCCAAGTCGCTGTCATCTAATTCCAGTGCATTGAACTTCACAGCAAACTCAAACTTGGGCTCCATAAAGTCACCAAAGGGCTTTCTCAGGCTCTTTAGAAATTCCCTTGTCATGAATCCTTGGCCCTCTGATATGAGAACCCCATCTTTATTCATCAAGGAGGCCAGCATCGTGTAAATGATCTCATGGACGCCATATTTTAGGAGAGTTACTTGGTCATTCAAGTCAAGGTTTACAAAACCAGGGATACTTTTGGCATACTCTGTGATCTCTTGCACAGCTTCCACTGAGCGGAACTGACACCCCTGAAAGATGCGAATGGCCACCTCTTTGCTCTGCTCTTGCAAGGGGGTGATGTGTTTGAACTTGATTTTATCTTCTCCCATCATTAAGGAATTCATGTCATAGATAACAAATGGCTGCAAAAAAAAAAAAAAAAAGGTGGGGGAAAGAAGCTGAGTTGGAGATTTCTAATTCAGGGTGAATACCATTCCAGTTTCTTTATACACATTTGCTTTGCTAACTAAAATCTTTAAGTTTGAAAATATGTAATGAGAAAATATTCTCATCTCCTGATTATTCCTCCTAATTGTCTTCTGGGACCAAACATATTTTACCAAGCTTGGTCTTCTTTTCTTTCAACTTACACTGCAACACTTTTACCTATGACTGGCTAATACCAGTTTGGGTTGTTTGGAGAGTCTTTGTTGCTGACTTGTAAAATCATACAAAATCTGTTGTTTATCTTGGCTTTCAAGAGAATGTGTTTTTAACCTTCATTCAATGAAAAAAAATCATTTCGACAACTCAGGGTTGAACACACCCACTTGAACATAAAGTAATCTTGCAGTTTTAGATTAAATCTACTCAGATCTCAAATGAAATGCAGTGTGCATGTAAAATATACTTAACTATAAAAAATCGGTTTGAAAGCAGATGAGAAATATTGAGCCAAGAAAATGTCTATTTCTTTTCTTAATGCTCTGGAAGCAATCTGTTTCAGAAAGAGCCAGATGTTTAAAGCCTGTGGGTAAGCACTGCATAAAGTGGCAAAATTAAAAAAGGGTTTTGAACTTATTTTCAAAATATCTGTCCTTAAGGGTCAAATAATCAATAAAACACATGCATCAGTTACTCAAGTCTGCAACAGACTGCCTTCAAAAGTAAGTTGTTAGTCATTAAGTGATCTCTCTCTTTCTTTCCTTGTATAGAAAGACCAAAGGGTTGTGGTCACTGTGAAATTCTCCAGGCTGCTCTGATTGAGAAGGGGAATCATTTTATATACATTGGAAATACTTAACTATAGAAGTTAACCACCCCACTCCCATTCAAGTAAGTGTATACCCAAAAGCACGGAATAAGAGTTGAAGGCATTTGCGCTCCAGCTTTGGCTCTATGGTTAAGAATGTGACTTTAGGAAAAACATTTATCTTTCCTAGGCTCAAATTTGTCAACTGAGGGGAATGCATTACACTGGATGTTTCCATCTCTTCCCTTGAAGGTATTTTAGTTGCATTTCTTAGAAGCTGTGTATGCATGTGTGTGTGTGTGTGTGTACATGTGGATATGTGTGAGCATGCATGTACATTGAATATGAAGTCTTTGATGTACAAAAGTTTCTTTTAGGCAGAGATGCTGAGAATTCCCTCTGGATAGGCAAGAGGAAGCAGTATAATGAGTGGCAGCAGTAAGCACCTTCAAGACTCACTGGTTTGGAGATTCTAACTGTGCATCTCTACACAAGCCTATGATTTTCACCAACCTGTTAAGTCTGGTCTACACTGAAGGAATAACACTAACACTAAGGACTCTTAGATGTTGAGTAGATTTCCAAACCTGCATGCTATTTCCACACCATTCACGGGAGTTATTCCAGAAATTCTTACTTTTTCTAAACAAAAATTCACTTCAGTTGTATTGGTCAGCCAGCCCCAAAGGAGGGCAGATGCAGGGACCCAACAGTAAGTGCGTTTGGTGGCTCGAACTAGTTCTTCAAGTAAATTAGGAACAAAAATGCTTATTATGTTTTTGGACATTCTGCTTGTTTTCTTTTTTCTTTTTTTCTACTTCAGGATTGATATTATTGACGAGAGAGGAAAAAAAAGAGCAGATAATCAGTCACATCAGTTAAAAATGTGCTGAGTTTCCCCAGAATGTCAGATTCTAATCATGAGAAAGACTTGCTTTTATAGAACCTACAGAAAATGTGGTTTCTGTCCTCTAGGAGTTCCATAGCATATTGTATTTCTATCAGTGGAATACTGGCTTTCTTTACCGCCATGGGAATCTGATGGTATCGATACCATACAGGTAGCTGTACATACATAAGTACAAAATAACATGAATGTAAATCATCCCCTCTTCACATATGGAAAGACTGTACCCAGAGCTGCCCACTTCAACTCCGGGATGAGCTTCTGCTCAACCATTTGGCTTCTTGGCACAGAATGTATGCATGAAATTCTTCTACCTCCATGTAAGCAATTTATCTGGAACTATGCCCTGATAAATCACCCTGTGACTCTTCCCCTTGACTTCCCCTGTCCCCTCATATAAAGCCCCAGGTTCCTGTTTTTGAAACTCTGTGATAGTTAACATAGGGCACAAAATCCTGCTAATTTTCTCTCCCAATTTAACAACAATGTGACTTTAACCCCTTGGCAATCGATGTTGGTCAGGATTTCCTGGCAGTAAACACTCAAGGACAGAGAAAGGAATCAGCAGCCCCCACCATCATGCCAAACCATTCCAGTTTTGTTTTTTTTCTTTTTTAAATCCCTTCAGCATTTTTGAAAAAATGGTGAACTGGTAAAGTATTCTGGGTATTGACATGCAAATGGATACCAAGTGGATTTTTTTTGTTTTTCCAAGATTATGCTGTTTTCCTTGCTTTTTTGAAGTCTGCATAGGTACTTTCGGCCTCCATGTAAATCTGTCAAACTGCAAAAGTGATCACCAGACATGATCTGCCTGGAGATCTGCCCTTCTTTGCCACCAATTCACTGATTCTTAGGTTGCCAACACTTAACTCACACAATTCACACTGGGACCTCCTCCCCCCGAAACAGGGAAAAGACAGTGACTTGCCTGATTTACAGAAAGCTGACCTCTTAAAACGAAGTGGAATTTGGCCTGTGTAATTTATCTTGGATCATTAACTTAATGTTACACTTCTGGTAAAATATTCTATAGCAGATGAATTTCACTTCCATATTTCTGTATTTTCTACAAATCAAAGGGCAGCCTTCTGTGTTCTATTAGCTTGTATGGTATCATCTGATGATCTACCATTATAAGAGGAATCATATCATCCTCAAATTTGGTCTTAATGATTTTACATTTCTAATTTGGAGCTAACGATGTATTTATCTTCAGGCACTGTACCAAATGGCTAGATAAGCATTTCTTCTTAACAGGAAAGAATGTTTAAATACATCTGGGACTCTATAGGGATAGATCCAGGTTTTGTGGGACCTGAAATGCACATAACCATTGGGTACATCTATGACAATTGTTGGGTTCAATAATACAACTTATAAGAGCAAAATTGCTCAGACCCTTCTCAGAGCGTTGGAAGGGGCTCTGTGCAAGGGAGGAGCTCTGACACTTAAGCTTCATTCACTTCATGGAGAATCTGCCTCTGGCCATTATGATACCTGCACTTCTCATATGCTGGACAGACCAGAAAAAGGTGAGACTGACATGAAGGAAACTGCACTTCAACGCAATGTTTTTCTTGGGAAGCAAAAACAGTCTCTGTAAGAGGAAATTAGTTTTCTTTGGAGAAATACATCAAATGTAATTAATTTTGATATATTTCGATTTTCAAGAATGGCTCCACCTATCAAAGCCAGGATGGGATTAAAGGTACTGTTTTATATAGATTATTAAGGTTAGTTACAGGCCTCTTGCATGCCTCTAACGTGTAACACAACGATCATGGGGGAAGCTGGCTTAATAATGAAAACACAGTAGGGTAATAAAAGTTGACTTTTTTAACTGGAGAAACAGAACAATAGTGTTACTTAGTAATCCATAACATCAGCATTTTAATATATATACAAGTTATGAAAGGGATTATGCATGAACACTGTAAGTTTACAGCTCTTTTTGAATAATAAAGTAACAGGCTAAAGGAGATAAATGAGAAAGTCAGCTTACAAAGCACAGATTGTCCTGATGATTGCTTCAATTTGGGAGACTGGAATTAATGTAACAGACAACTCTACCCCCTCACAGACCATCCCTTGGTAACCACGTCAGAGTTAAAACTGGCCTGAAAAAACGTGTGCCTCCTCTCACGAAGCTCTCCTGATATCCTTAGTTTTCATGACAGATTAGAGCAAAGGCTCAAGGAAGAGAAGCTGGATTCTTAGGGCCTATCTTCTTCATTTTGTTTCCTTCTTCCTTTTTTATACTTCTGACTGGCTTTCATCCTTTTAGAGATACATGGTTCTCCTGGATTAGCTATAGTGGGTGACTGCTAATCAAAATGCATTGGTTAGGTTTCTTCAACTTCTGGTTTTGCCCATTTCTATTTTCCTCCTGTTGAGAACCATGGGATTTACAGAACCAAAGGGGTCTTCGAAAATCACCTACATCATCATTCTCTGACGAGGTATGAATACACTGAATGAAGCCAAAGTCAAATAACTATTTACAGCAAACCCTGAACTGGAACTAGAGCTCCTGACTCAGGACTAGTTCTGTTCCCTTTCTATTGCTTTCTACATGACTTTCCACTTTTCCTTCTTTAAATAAAATGACTATCCTGGGAGAAATTTCGGCTTTTAAACCAAAGCTCTTCCAGGGTGGGGTCTTGGAGACAGTGCCTTTTGAGCTCTTATTTCCTAGACGTGCTAGGTAAGAGCTGGATGCGAATGAAGGGAAGTTCGAACAATCTCTCAAATGTACTTCTGTTCTCCTGCATGGTTTAGAGATTTAAGACAAATAAAAGCTTAATGGGAAGAATTATTCACACGCTAATGAACTCGCACATAACCACAGCTCTTAAAAAACCATCCATTGCCAGCCAAAGTGTTACTCAGCTGGCAAACAAGGGTATTGGTTAACTGAATCTAAACATTACCAAAAAAAAAAAAAAAAAGAAATCCACTTGCTTTTCTTCATTCTATCTTTTTTATTTATTGTCTGAAAGAACACTATTGGTTCAGATCTGTTATATCTTTGGCTGTTCCTGACAATAAAGGAATTTATTTTATTCACATTAATATCTGGATTAAGGATCCCAGGAGCCCAGCTTCTTCATTAGCCCTCCAAACAAATCAGCATGACTAACATGCTCTTTATTTATATAGGGGCTCCTAAGTCTCTCTTCTCTGACAGTTTGTCTGGGATCTTTCTTCTCAGGGGAGCAAATTCCGACTCACTCAGGTTTTTCCATAGATGAAGGGGAAAGAAACCACCCTTTGTTCAGCAGTAAGAGCAGGACAGAAAAGAACAGATATATTTCCAATAGCTTTGAGAGTTACTAGGTTTGATGGCCGCTGTAAATTTTAGAATGGGAACGTCTGAATGGGTACAGAACTGTCTTCACAAAAGTTTCCATTTCCATATTGGTTTTATTATTCGGTGGTTTCATGTTTCACACACTGTTTAGAAAAACCATTTTTACGATGGCACCAGTTTGCTTTCGTATTTGTAAAAACAGTGACTCCACATGTCCCCATCAAAAGCAATGTGATTCTTCGGGACCCAAAGTCCGATACAATACAGATAACAAGTTTTATTCCTTGTTTGCAGACAGAGCGCAGCCAGGGCCTCACCATCTCTCAGATATGGGATGAAAAGTTGGCAGGCGCACCAAGGGTTTTTCTATTTATTGTTTTATGACAAACCATGGCACTGAAGATGGTTTTTGAAAACCACTTTGTTTATTTTCATCCACAAACATGGGATCATGTGACAATGATATACCCAGTGTGTTCATCACATCAGGGTAATATTCAAACACTGGGAACTTTCAAAGTCCATTCCGTTCTCAAATTGCCATCATGTAACACAGCACCCTGGTTCTAGATTCACGGTTTTCAGAGTTCAGCGGGATCTCTTAAAGAAGGTGCTGGGCTGCTACAAGCCACTAAAAGGGAAAGAGACTGTGGGGGAAGAGTCAGTGCCATCCTCCTTTGAGGCTGGCTAACAGGCTTACTGCTAGTGAACCTTCTTCTCTGGTTAACTTTACCCAGTGATTCCATATCCTATCTAGCCCTGAGCCTAAAACTCACAAGCATGCAAGGCAATGAAAAGTAGGGGCATCATATCCTGAAGACATGCTGTCAAAGTTAAAAAGACAGGAGGGAGCAGAAGTTATCTGCTCATTTATCTGTTTTGCAAGGTGCGAGTGGCGCCCGGAAATAAGATACAGGAGACGGAAGTTTAGGTGAGAAGGGAGAAGCCCTGCTTGGCCTCAGGCAAATGCTGGTACAGGTCCCAAGAGGAGAGATTAGCAGGTATATCCCCAAATGAGAGAGAACAGGCAATGGTTAAATGGAGCAGTAAGATAAATTTGAAGAATGGCCTCTTCAAGAGCGTCGTTTCCTCTTACAAAGATTCTGGGTAACTGGCCATCCTTTATGCTGAGCAGCCTCCCCCAGGCTTGGCCTAACCAACACGAATGACATCAATCTCAAGCAGGGTCTATAATGAGACCCACGCTGTCCTACTGCACCAGCCACGGCCACTTTTCCATATCCCCCACCCTCTCGAGAGTCCATACTTCAGCACAACCTATCCTATCAATGCAAATCTTAACTTTCATAAGTCTCGGCCAAGAGATAACATAACGCCCCTGAGAGAGATGCTATCAAATAAATAACATGACCATGTCAGATAAAGAACAAATCTCTAGTCTCATTGGAAATCACATTTTGGATTTTTTTTTTCCCTCTCCCATATTCTCTCTGAACTATTTCTTTCCACTAGTGCTTAATTTGATTTTGCAAGATAAGGAGAAAAGAGAGAGCCAAACAATTCTATTTCAGTTTTTGTGTAATCAGGGAATGGATTATTTTAATTTGGCCTAGTCTCTCTTTCTTTTCCAGACCCTAACAAGGGGCAATTCTGCCTCTATTCAGACCATTAATGATGTCCAGGTTGGTGAGCAAATATTGGGCTAGTTAGAGGCTCTCTGTTCAAAGTCCAGAATTTCAAAGAGGCATAGGCAACAGTTTTTAATTCAATTAAACAAATACACTCTGAGTAACTATTATGAGCAAAGCACAGTCTTGGTTACTGTAGGGGAAAACATGACAAACATTTGGCCTCTGAACTGGAGAAGCCTATAATCAAGCATTTTGCAGCTCTTTGTCTTAAAATACCTTAATACCTATTTATCCCACAAAGAGCCTACAATGATCTTATTTTTAACTCAAAGATTCTGAGCCAAATTGCCAATTGGTATGAGGTTTTAGTGATTTACAGTGGACTGGGCTCTCTGCCCTTCAGTGACACATAAGAGAATATGCTAGTCACTGGTAGTGTACATTTAAATTCTTGACTACTGAGGGAAAAAATATTTTTTAATGCCTTCCTCCTATCTTCCAGGTACTGTTAAATTGACAGGATTTCCAGCATGGATTGCAGGTCTGGATTAGGAGATAAAGAGAAGGTGAGAAAGCAGTTCCTGGAAACTAAATGGCCTTAGGCAAAACTGTGGAGTAAACAGTTTGCATTCAGACTCTTTCCCTGTCGAAGCTCCCTTCCCAGCTCTAGGCCTCCCAGCCTCCAGGTCCCTATCCCACACTGGCTCTCAGCAAGCGGCAGCAATCTGCCTTCAGCTCTTAACCCCTTTTAGCCAGGCCACTAGTTTTCCTTTTCTTTCTCTCCCTTCATATAAACACAGTTGATTTTCCATAGTCACATCAGCTAAACAGAGGTCTTTGCTTGCTTTTGTTTTGCTGTACCCCGATTTTTTGGGGGCATTTAATGAATACACAGACTCAGCTTTACTAGGACCTAGAGTCTGTAGTCCTGTCCCTATGGAAGACAGTTGTCCTAGACGTTAAAATTTGGGAAGAAAAGAGCAAAAGACAAAAATTTCCTGGTTGTGAATATATTGGGATAGCAGAACAAGGTAGAAGATTCCTGCCATTCTAAAAATTGGTAAAAATAAATCATAATGCAGCACATTTTCCCAGGATGAAGCTTTCCTAGTGCATCTGTCCACCTGGCTCATTGCTAGCCGATGGGAAGAGGAGCTTCCAGGAGGGAGTATCATGCTCAGAATGCACTGAGGTAGAAGTTAGTAGGCCTGGATCATAGGGTTCTTCCGTATGCTAACTGTGTGATCTCAGGGCAAAATGTTTAACCTCTCTGGAAGTTAGTCTCCTCATCTTTAAAAACAGGGTAATAACAGCAGCTGTCAGATGGCTGTGTGTCTTGAACGTAATGAACGTGTAAGATTTTTTGAATTTGTAAAGAACGGGATATACATATAATACTGTTCAGGTATCAGCGTCCTCTCTCGCAGTCAGAAAACTCATTGTCCTTGGCATTTGGCTCTCTACACAGCAATACCCCACAGTTTTCTTTTTCTATTAGCTGACACTACTCTAATGGTTTATAGCTAAAAGGAAAATGGTTTATAGCTACAAAAAAAAAAAAATCACATTTTGAGACCGTCATCAAAATACATTAAAGGCTAATGATACCATCAAAGTCAGACCTCTGCCTGTGAAAACGGGGACGGAGATGTGACCGAGGTCACACTGCAAGCTGACCGCAGAACCGAAACTCAAATTCAGGTGTAGTTGTGTCTTGTTTTAATTGGATTTCACATTGCTTTCTCAGCTTCCTATCCAGGAATAGTTCTGCTTCACACTTAGTAACAATTATAACCTACTCTGGGTTTTCTAAACTGTAATGAATGAGCCTGCAGATGTTTGAGAATCTATGGGAGGAGTAGCCCAGGCAGCTCAGAGCCTCACAGAAGATAAAATTCACATATGTAATCAAAGGATTGAGCCTCCAGTTGCCCAGGAGCCATCAACAGAGCCACAAGGAAAGAAAGGAAATGTAATATCTAGATGTATTTTTATGCCCCACATGGAACTTCATAAGTAACTCTAGCATTTCTCCTGAACTGTAAAATAATGGGACCGAATACCTTTTCCAAACCTAGGTCAGGCCCCTCCCAGAGACAAGCCGAGCTGCTGGAATGCATGTAGCTGTGGCCAGTTATTCTGATGTCAAGAAAAGATATGGATCCTGAAGGAGGGCAGCAGGAAGAGGGGGGGGGGCTTTATACTATTCTCACAGAATTTATTAGGAGAACCTGAAGGACTTTTTCCCTTTTCAAAATAAGGTTTATTTATCCTATCTGAAAACATTTCCTTTCCTGTGTTTCAGTCTGTAATATGTAACAGCCAACAGCTAAACACGACTGTGCACACGTGTGTGTAACAGGGTGAATGATCTTCTCAAAGACAAAACAACAATAACAACAACAACAAACCCAGCCACCCCAAATGAAGACAGAAGAGAACTAACTGATTTGTCTGTTGTCTTTCCTGTCAAGATCGCCCTCGCCTTTGCTTTGGTCAGCGGGAAGGACTTTATGTATGAGTCATACAAATGTTTTGCCAGGGCCCGGAGATCAGCCGACTCTGGGTTCAGCTGGTCGATATCACTGGAGATCTCCGCCAACAGCTTCTCCTTCTCGGCCTGTGGCATCCGCCCGAACCTGATGGCTACATAGAGAGAGAAATGACAAGGATGCATCACTGAATCACTGCTGCTCTCCCCCAGTCCTAGTGCCCACACAGTAAAAGCCCCCCCACCCTTCCACCAAGCTCAAGGTCTGGTTTTTCTACTCCACCTTTGCTCAGGTTTTTATTTCATGGCAGTACGCAGGCTATCAGTAAAAATTAAATTCTTCACTTCTTAAACTGAAAAATATTAATGCATGATCTTGCCGGGAAGGTGAAAGAATCTAAGAGCTCAGCAAAGAGAGAAAAGTGTATTTACTTACATATAAAATAGGTGAGAGCCAGCTCCTACTCATCCCTCAAGACCCAATTCAAATGTTACCTTATGTGTGAGGCTTTCCTTGACTTCTTCAAGCATTCGCCTGTACTCCAACAGCCCTTGGTACTTTCTTCAATGATAGCAATTTCAAACTGTACTTTTTATTTGACATGTCTATTAATCTCACTACAGAACATCCTGAAGGCCAGGGACAATGTCTTATTCATTTTTGCATCCCCAGCACCTGACATAAGGTCAGGCCCTAAAAGGATCAACATGTTTCACAGACTGAAGGAACTGTGCAAAATTCAAAGTTGTACAGACAGAACTTTGTTCTCACAGAGTCTGTATGATCTATTTTGTCCCTGTTATAAAGAAATATGGATGGTGCTTTCTTTCATGTTATTAGACCAGAGAGTACTTTTACATTTAGTAGAGAGAAGCCGTAATCATTCTCCGACTCTCCAGGATTACCACTTAATGATGTTTGTCAAAAAGACCATTTCCTTACTTAACATTTGGCTTCCTGTGGGGTGAGGAAGTGTAAAGAAGAAGAAAACTAAAGAAAGAAAGGCAAAGTGGAACATTTAAGAGAGGTTAGTAAGGCCTAGGTTGGGGGAAAAATCATCTGTTTGTACCTCTTTTGACCAAGATGGTTTTTCTCCCCCCTCCCCATAACAATGTGATCTGCAAAATATTTTTTTTTTTTTAAGATTTATTAATTTGAGAGAGAGAGAGAGCACGTGTGTGTGAGTGCGAGTGCAGGGGGGAGGGGCAGAGAGGGAGAGAGGGAAACTAGGCAGACTCTCCGCTGAGCCGCAAAACCAATGTGGGGCTCCATCTCATGACCCTGAGATTGCAACCTGGGCCGAAACCAAGGGTTGGATGCTTAATTAACTGTGCCATCCAGGCGTGCAAAATATCATTTTGAATAATGCTACTTCTGGGCCATGCTTTGGACTCTCTGTACTTTCCCATAATAAGGACATTTGGATACCAAAGTCAATACTACTCTGTGTGTAGCTCAACTCTTACCCTCCCCATGTGGTAGCTCAACTCTTACCCTCCCCATGTGGTAGCTCAACTCTTACCCTCCCCATGTGGTAGCTCAACTCTTACCCTCCCCATGTGGTAGCTCAACTCTTACCCTCCCCATGTGGTAGCTCAACTCTTACCCTCGCCATGTGGTAGCTCAACTCTTACCCTCGCCATGTGGTAGCTCAACTCTTACCCTCGCCATGTGGTAGCTCAACTCTTACCCTCGCCATGTGGTAGCTCAACTCTTACCCTCGCCATGTGGTAGCTCAACTCTTACCCTCGCCATGTGGTAGCTCAACTCTTACCCTCGCCATGTGGTAGCTCAACTCTTACCCTCCCCATGTGGTAACTCAACTCTTACCCTCCCCATGTGGTAGCTCACCTCTTACCCTCTCCATGTGGTAGCTCAACTCTTACCCTCCCCATGTGGTAGCTCAACTCTTACCCTCCCCATGTGGTAGCACAGTGGTGTGTTTTTATGACCGTCTCCTTCACTACACTGTAGCTCCTTGAGGGCAGAGTCCATCATACTCACTTATATCTCTAACACTTAGTGGTGCTCTGTCAAAAATTCCTGAATGCAGGAATGAATAAATGGATGCTTTCCTGCTATACATTATAATGCTAAAGCTAGCATTCTACCATAAGACACTAAAGTACATAAACACATTTCCATCTGAATACTTGGTGAATTCCATTTTCAGTCGGCTAGAGGAGAGACTGGTGTGCACTCCCGAGTCTCAAATTCATAAATACATTTCCTGTGACCCTAAATAAGCTTTATCACTAACTAATACAATTATTGTGTTTGTGGGGGCCTCCTTAGGGAACGTCTGAGTTAGAGGGGAAGAAAATCTTACCTCTCAGTTAGGATGCCTTTAAATTAGCCTATATCCATTTGATAAATGTATCCTCTGCCCCTGACCTCTTCAAATGGAAATCTTTAAACAACTGCCATTTTTTGGTCAAAAATCTTTTCTCTCTACTCACTCTTCCCCATTCTGTTAGGCCTAGGCAATGAATGGTTGCTCACATTCTTATCTCAGTCCCCCACCCCTCTGCCCCAGATTTGTTTAGGTCCCTCAGGATATGATCTCATTACTCATTGTATTCTCTTTCACAGCACTGATCACAGTAATTATCTACAGTGGTTTCTTGCCTCCCTTATGTAATCTGCACGAAGGCAGGAATTTTGCTCAGTATCGAATCCTCAGCACTTAGTATAATGTCCAGCACATGTTAAATCTTTGTATAATATATGTCAAAATAAAACAGAAAAAACAACAATCTGAGAACCAGATAGCAGATTCTTTTCAAAATCCTTCTTTGTGAAGCTGGTCCAATCATTTGTTTCCCTGTACTATGTTTATTCCTTGTGCATCAGTAGTTCTCAGTTGAGAAGTAAGGAGGAGGGTAGGCAGGGCATATTAGAATCACTTGATAACTTCTAAAATTATGTATCTTCCATAGGAAATGTTGATATGTCATACCTACTCCCAATGAGGAGTGTATCAAAAACTTGGGGTTTGGGACAGTTTAGAAAACCTTCCTAAATGATGGGCTCCTGTTGCATGCATATATTAGCTCAGGTAGCAAACCAGAACTGTACTTCTGTATTAGTTATTCTAATAGAATCTATGAGTACCAGGTTTTCTCATTTTTGCTCCTGGGTGCAACAAAATACACATGGTAGGTATACAATAAATGCTTGATGAATTAAACTCTAAAGTATCAAGTTTAAAAACAGAAAATGAGACAGTATGTACCCAGGGAAGTTTGGGAAAGTGATCATAAAAGAAAGCACCCGGTAAGAATTATGGCATATTGAAGGAAGAAGAAATTTTGGTGTAAAGACTGGAGACCACCAACATTCTATACCAAAATAGAGTGATTAGAATCACCAACAATCTGTTGCTCTTTATTTAACAGAGTGCACCGTACATCTCTTCACTCAGTGAGTCATTATTGAAAGTCTATTGTGTGCCCAACATTGTTCTAGGCTCTGGTTACATTTTTATAGGTAATAAAGTATAAATATACAGTCAAGTTTACATGTCTAGGAAAGCACTTCTTTCTTAAAAGGTAATCCAAAAAGTTAATTTAAAATAAACAAACAGCCAAAGAGGAGTGGGAGGTACAGACTTCCAGTTATGGAATGAGTAAGTCACAGGGATGAAAGATACAGCATAGGGAATATAGCTAATGGTATGGTAACATGGTGACAGATGGTAGCTACACTGTGATGAGCACAGCATAATGTATAGAGACACTGAATCACTAACATAGTGATTCATAGTGCACCTGAAACTAATGTAGCATTGTGTATCAACAGTATTTCAATTAAAAGAATAATAAAATAAAATTTCTGTTAGGAAAAAACCCAGCCAAACATAGACACTTACTACATTTGCTGGTCTTGCTTTTCCATAACCTAATAAAAAATAGCTGAAATGACTTCTAAAAATCATTTTAGAATTAGGACATATTAAAGTAAAAGCCTTCTGCTACAATCTAAATAAAATGTGAGGGGCACCTGGGTGGCTCAGTCGTTAAGCATCTGCCTTCGGCTCAGGTCATGATCCCAGGGTCCTGGGATCGAGCCCCGCGTCGGGCTCCCTGCTCGGCGGGAAGCCTGCTTCTCTCTCTCCCACTCCCCCTGCTTGTGTTCCCTCTCTCACTGTGTCTCTCTGTCAAATAAATAAATAAATAAATAAATAAATAAATAAATAAATAAATAAATAAATAAAATGTGAATTTTTGTAAGTCAAAGCTCCCCCCAAAGGTTAAACCTTATCAACAAATTTTCTGTATCACTGAATGCTCATGCTGTACATTAGATTTAATTAACTATCAGTGCAACTAATCATTTGGTGATTTTATTAGCATTTTCAATAAAGGGATTAAAAAATACATCCCATTTGGTGAAACTAAATTTGCATAAAACATATGGAAATCTGAAGTTAGAGAAAACGCCATTTTTTATTTGTATGAATTTTTTTAGGGAAAAAAAATGCCAATTTTATTTTGTTGCTTTTGAGTCCAATGTAATAATACCTACCTACTGTATGTGAAATGATGAGATAAGGCACAGAAATTGTTCAGCACAGTGCCTGGCACATAGTAATGCTTAATAAATGTAGCTTTTATTACTTGTGGTTGAAGTGGTCTAGGTCAACCATGGTACAATGGTTCCTGTGGACTATAGACCAGGATGGTAGCCATGGTACAGAGACCTAGATACATTCCCACAGATAAAGAACAAATCCTGAAAACCTAATCTATCTCTGTAAATCTCTCTCTGTCTTTAACTTGTTTAAGGAATGGCGTACTAATTCTTGAACCTCAGTTTCCACCCATTGGGTAGAGAATCTGAGAACCAAGAAGAGGAGTAATTCTCCTTTTGGATTGCTGTTTCTGGTAAGACTGAAGTTAGAGCTTAGAAAAAGAAGACCAAAGTTCTAGATTGGGGACCAGAAATATAAAGGCTGAGTGTGCCCATATATACACAAGAATATTTTCCCACATCTACTACTGCTTAAAAGACAGAGGAACGTGCTCCATGTGTTACTATGAGTTAGGGAGGGAGAACTTTTGGCCTCTCTGGAAGGCGATGAAATTAACACTGCACTTCAAGTAGTCAGGAAATCTACTTTCTAGTTTCGGCTCAGTGAAAAACCAGCTAAAA